AGTCTTGGATATTTACCGAACTGCGAAGCAGTGAGGTAAATATCCACGACTAGCCACCGACACTGAGGTGAAAAATTGTTTAAGTATATACTAAAACAGTGAGATAATTGAGCACAAAAATGATGATTTTTAACTCAAATGCTGTTGCCAACGATTACAATTTTGGCGCGTAATGACCGGGCGACCGCGGCTGTCGCTTTTTCTTGCCGACAATTAAAACTTTTGAAGGCATTTGTTTAGCTCTTGCGGGGAAATTTCTTCAAAAGTAGTTGTGAATTCTTTTTGTATTTAAAATCATTCTATAAAAAAAGATAGTTAAATTTAGTTTTAAGCTTATTTATGAACAAGTCAACTAAATAAAGTAACGCAAGACTTAAACTTAATTTACATTTGTAAACAAAAAACTTTTTCACCGGTTTTATCGATAAATTCGTGTCAAAAAGACAAAGCCTTACCTGTTAAAACTTCCAATCCGAACTTCGTCACCTTCTTCGTGTATTTCGGAAACAGCTTGCTTGATTAGTTGTGAAATTTCTTTGTTTGTTTACGGCAGCAAACCGGGAAGGCATTTTGCTCGCAACTTACGCGAGTTTGGCGTCGCTCGCTCGGAGGAACTGGAGGTGAATCAGTGAATAGTGCAGGATATTCACTGATTGAGTAGCCAATCAGAGCGCGCGAAAAACACTATCCACTGTTTTAGTATATACTACATGAAATTATCTCAGGTGTTACAAAGGTTAGGTGTTACCAAAGGCAATATGCATTGTTATATAACTGGTGATTTTAATTTGGATCTACTGAAGCATGAATCCCATTCAATCACTGCTCAATTAATTGAATCGCTTTTTGCTTTTGGTTTTCTGCCAATGATTACAAAACGCACAAGAATTACAGCACATTCCGAGACGCTTATAGACAACATTTTTACAAACAATACTACAGTATCCTCAAAAAGTGGTTTGATCATAAGTGATATCTCAGATCTCCTACCGATCTTTTCAATTGTTTTTGGTGATTACTTGCGTAAAGATAGCAACAGCTTTACTATCCGAGATACCAGCGAGATAAGAGTTAATGAATTTAGACACAAACTAGAAAATACTAACTGGGATTTCTCTGATCAGGCCAACAATGCCAATGATCCGAACACCGCTTACAATATTTTCATCGATAAGTACACTGGCTTATTTGATACGTGTTTCCCTTTTAAAACTGTCAAAGGTAAATCTCTGAACTCCTTCAGGAAACCTTGGCTTACAAAGAGCTTACTTAGGTCAATCGATAAGAAAAATAAGCTATTCAAGCAATACCTTCATCATCGATCGAATGAAAAACTTCTCAAATACAAAATGTATAAAAAAAAAAACTAATCTTCTTAGAGTTGCCAAGAGGCTCTATTTTAAAAATCAAATTGAAATAAATAAGACTAACATCAAGCAGAGAAGACGTGGAGGATTTTGAATAATGCAATAGGCCAAAACAAAAAGAAGAAATTGACATACCCGTTAGTAGATGAAAATGGTGAAAGCATTACCAGTACAGAAAAAGTCGCCAACCAATTCTGTAAATAGTATTTTACAATTGCAGGAGCCCATAACCCTATGGGCTCCTGACAACTGGCTGATAAAATAGCCCCTGCCTCCAAGTCGTGCCAGGATCTTTTAAACAGTGTGCCCTCGGACTTCCTGTCAAGCTTCACTCAATCCATGTAACGGCCAAGGAACTCAAAACAATAACAAAAGGTTTTAGGGACGGTAAGGCCCCCGGAGCTGACAACATTCCAATTTCTATTATCAAAAAAACACTCGACCTCATTTCAGATCCGCTGCTATCAATTATTAACCTATCTTTGTCATCAGGAGTTTTTGCAGATAGACTGAAAATATCTAAAATTATTCCTATCTTTAAATCTGATAACGCTAGCTTAGCATAAAACTGCCGACCAATTTCTATACTTCCTGCCTTTTCTAAAATTTTCGAAAGAGCTGTTTATAATCGCATATTTCAATTCTTAGTCGATAATGACATATTATTTAAACATCAATTCGGTTTTCGTCCTGGCCACTCTACTTCCCACGCTGTGATTAATTTTGTGAACAAAGTTGCTAACGCCTTTGATTGCCAAAAATATTTAGCCGGAATATTTCTTGACTTATCAAAAAGCCTTTGATACCCTAGATCACGCAATACTACTATCAAAACTGGAAGCATGTGGCATCACTGAGACAGTTCATCAATGGATAACTGACTATTTTCGTAATAAAATACAATATGTCCAAATTGACTATTCTAAATCCGATGCTCTAAGACAAATTTGTGGCGTACCGCAAGGCTCTATACTAGGCCCTCTCTTTTCTCTTTTTTATTATTTATATCAATTATCTCCCAGCCTGCTCTAGTTCTAATGAACTCGAATTTATATTATTTGCTGATGACACCAGTATATTTTTTGAACATAGTGATCTGGATGTACTTACCTCCCATCTTCACGACCAGCTCCACAATGTTTCAACTTGGCTAAAAGCCAATAAGTTATCAATCAACGTTAAGAAAACAAAACTAATGATTTTCAGACCAAGGCAAAAAACGTTACCTATCAATAAGCAGATTGTCATAGAAAATAATGTACTTGAACAAGCAGATAATAGTACTAAGTTTCTCGGAGTTTATATTGATCAGCACCTTATGTGGAAAACTCATGTTAATTTTATTGCGGCTAAGATTTTTAAATCTGTCGGGTTACTTTATAAAGCTAAATACTATTTGCCCTGAAAATTTTTTTTCTTACACTATACTATGCCCTTGTTTATCCATATCTTACTTACTGCAATTTAATTTGGGCCTCTACTTATGTCACCAACCTGCAACGAATTTACCTACTACAGAAAAGAGCAGTCCGGGCGATCTCTAAGGCTGACTACAAGGCTTCAAGTAAACCTCTTTTTGCAAATTTGAAAATTCTTGATGTCTTTAGTATCTACACGCTCCAGGTAAGTTCTTTCATGTACCTATATCATAATGACGCTTTACCTATTGCTTTTAATCAAATCTTTCAAACTGGAAATCAGATTCATCAATATTCAACAAGACACTCTGACTTTTACCGACCTCATACCTGTAGAACAAATATCAAAAAAATTTCGATCCTGTTTCAAGGTCCTAGAATATGGAATTCATTACCAAGCAACATCAAAAACGCCCTGACTTTTAATATATTCAAGCTTGTGGTCAAAGCATTTTTGAGGGTCAGACAAGGTACATCCTAAATACCTTAACACTTTATATCTATTTTTTTCTCTAAGCACACTTATATACTCAAAGTACACGTCTTTTTTCTTTATTCTTAAATGCCGCCTAGTATTTAAATTGCCCGTGGGGGGAAATCTCTATTCCTCATAAGCTTTGCTTCTCGGAGATTTCCCCGGCACAGTCACTCCTTCCAAGTTGTATGCTCATTTTAAATTTAATATTAATTAACTATTTACTATCTTTTCTATTCTGACTAAATTATTCTGTGTGGCAAAATAATAAAAATAAAATTTAAAAAAATGAAATGAGATCGAGGTCAAATGAGCCAGCCAGCCAGTCTAAGATTTCGTCCAAACCGTGAAATCATATGGCATCCAGAACGATACCTACCCGAATCCCGCGGGAAAAGAAAAACGACTCTAATAGTATGCGGTCTCCTAATTCCTCAAACCGGAAATAAACACTTTTCAGTTAAGCAGATATACTAATTTTTAGCACCTCCTGTACGCTTCAAACAGATCGCCGCTGAGTGATCTAAGGGTCCTATTTTTGTAAGAAGTCTTTGTAAAATATCCTTATTAAAGGAACTGCCCGTGGGTTCTGAAATTCGAAAATGAAAAGTGGCAAACTAAGTTTTGCAACCATATTTGGGTGTTTGCCAATTTGTCCTGTTTGGTCGCCTCTTTTCTTTACATGAACACCTGTAGAAATATGGGCGTTCTTTATTTATCTATTCCGCCTCAAACGTCTTCCGCTCTTTAATAAGTTTAATTTCTTATAAATGTCGCCAGCAAGTATGAATTCAATTTATTTCTCCTTTCGAAATCATTATTTTCCTACATAATGGTTTACGCGTGTCAATTAATTGTTAATAACACAGCATCACAAAGTTAGAAATGAAAACTGACGTTTGCTAGTCGCTTGATTAACGGCTCAAAAACGAAGGTGTCGAGCCAGTGTGTCTACTTCGATGAATAAAAACAATTTCTGTTCAGCTGACAATGGCGCTTTCACTTTGATCCTCTTCTCCATACAGTGTATAGAATAAAAAAATCTATTTTAAGCCGAAACTTATCCACAGTCGCAAAGAAACAGGACCCATGCATTTCTTACGCGTGAAGCCGGTTCTGATGTTGATATTAATAAACTGACTTGATATTCTCTTAAATAATAATAGTAATAATAATAATAATAATAATAGTTATAATAGTAATAATAATAATAATAATAATAATAATAACATTAATTCAAAGGAGTATTTAGGAGTTTTTTAGATCTGTTAATAAGCTCGCACTTCGTACATGTTCGGCTGTTCCTTGTATTTTAGACTGGATAAGACGCCCTTACTAGTTTATTAAACTAGTTTATTAAACTTACTACGCAATTTTGACATGTTATTTACTTTCTTAATGGATTGTTAATGAATTTGCCAAGAAATTTAGAGTTTGACGTTTTAGAACGCAGCAATTAAAGCAGTTACCTAACATTAACCTGCATATTTTTATCAATAGTTGCTATCGTTATCTAATATCCTTTGATCATATACAGAGTTAAGTTCACCTGGCCATGGCTGACCACTGAATATTTATATAGCTTGATTATGATAAGAGACGGAACGACCGTGGTATAAGTACTGTAAGTGTGTCGAACTGTATACGAAACATATTAGGGGGCAGAATTTTCCTCCCGCAATTAACCAAACACAGAATAATCCCTCCTGAACTGTAAAGACAACATATCTTCCTCCCGCAATGAAGAACAATTTACCGAAGTGGGAATTTATTCTGTTGTTGAACGTTCATGGGATTATCACAATCGTTGCTTTGCTCGGGAGTTATTTCGTGATAAGAGCGTTTCACAAATTTCGGAACCTGCGAACTGCTTCCAACAACATCCTGGTGAGTTTGTCCATCGCCGACGGCTTACTAGCGATTCCCTTGATTCTTGATATCATTCAGTTATGCCTTAAGTATAGTAATGTTGGGCAATATCCAAGTATTCTTAAAGAAGTAGGCGGAACTGTCACCTTGTTTCTCCTTTCGGTCATTGTTCTTCATCTCACCTTAATGAGTTCAGAACGTTTCATCGCCATCAAATTCGCCTTAAGATACCAGGTCATAGTGACCAAACGCCGAGCACGGATCGTTTCCATCGCGATGTGGCTGTGGGCTCTGGTCGTTATTGTGGCTTTTCCAGAGGTGCTTCAGAGGGCAACAGGGAAAGATTTCAAAGAGTTACGCAGACGGATGAAGGCAGACAATAATACCTCCCAAGTGCTCCGCGTCAGATGGCATCTTGTATTCCAAGCTCTGTCAATGTTTCTTGTCCCCTTGCTGATCATTTTATGCTCGTACACCTACATCTTCATTGTGTCCTACAAACAGAGACAACATGTCAGAGAACAGGGCCGCGACATTCCAGGAATGACCACCGTCAAGCATCACATGAAAGGTGCCCACACTCTCGCCATAATTGTAGCGCTGTGTCTACTCAGTATCATCGCTTTGCTGGTTGTGACATCCCTTCGAATTTTCTGTGGCCATCCAATGCTACCGGAGAAGATCGTCTACGACGTGGCCATGTTTTTGAATGCCGTATGCAACCCTCTTATCTACGGATGGAAAAATGAAGAATTTAGAAACGCTTTTCGTAAGATGCTGAAATGCTGCTAAGTGATCTTAGTGCGCAAACGTTGTTAGGCGTCTTAGGCTATACCTAGATTAACTGTATTCTTTTGTTTAAGGCAAATTGGCCAAGTATCAGGTACTAGACGATACCAAACTCCCTTTTGTAAGCCGCTGAGAATCGCTCTACCTGCTAAATTACTGGACTTAAATAACTTGCCCTACGCAGGAATTATATGGTGTCAAATTAGTATAGTGGCACGAATGTAACTTGTCAAATTTTATAACAAACGAATCCTTTTGCATGAGTGAAAAAAGAGACTAATTATATGTTCTATGACCAGATCTAGTGAAAAATAATTTTTGGAAGAGGCCCAGTGGAGAACATACACTGATACATTGCGAATTTGTCAAAATTTTTACTGTCGCCTGAGAAGTGAGAGGGATTTTTGATTAAGAACTTAGACTTAAGATCAAAGAACTATTGATACGGCTGGGGAAAGCCAACGGTGATTCCAGCATCCCGGCCCCATGCAGTCACCCTGTAACTCCCAAAAGTTGTAAAAGAAAAAGCTAAACAATTGCTTATGCCGATAACATGGTAAAGAAGTAAAATTTGCCCACAAAAGTTTAAAACGAATTTCAAACATTCTTACCAGTCTCTTGGTATTATGCGGTGAATACGCTGCTTACGTTCCATTTACAAAAACAAATTACAACAACGTATGTATCGAGTAGGTACACGGCTCAAAGATCTGTTGGGAGCCGCGGGAAGGGTGTGACTCCCATATGAAAATGATGGAATATTCGCCTCCTCACTTAGAGTTAATCATGGATTATGCATGGGACTAATATAACCGTAGAGGTATTACTGTGGATTGTCAGTAAAGAAATATTAAACTATGTAAAACAAACAACTGCTGGGAGAACAGTTGTGACCAAATCGCGAAAACAAGTGAGGTTTGTAATTTTTGCAACTTCCGTTAAAATTGTAAGATCGGCAGCGCCACTTTGAGGATTTGCTGCTATTTACATAACAAAGGGGAGCAAGTTGTGAAAATAGCAGAAGACTGATGAAAAATCGTGAAATTTGTAAATTTTGCAATTGCCGTTAAAATTTTAAAATCCCCAGCGCCGTTTCTCGTAAGCTCATCGCGAAAAATCGTTAATTTTTTAATTTTGTAGTTTTCCCAAGGTCATCGCGGAAGACCGTTAGGTTTGCAAATTTCGCAGTTTTCGCAAGGCTATCGTGAAAAATCGTAAATTTTGTAAATTTCGTAGCAGAGTTCAATCCTGAACGTGTGTCCCCGAGCAGGGTTTTCTTTGGCAAGCATTAAGAGGCAGTCTCCGTAAAAGCGTTCCACTCGATTTTGGACTCGAAAAAACTTTTGCCTTATAATTTTACCATCAATGCTACTATCCATCCTAATAACGAAATTGCCGTTAGAATGAGGAAATTATTTATTTTACTGCCATTCCCAGCATTTCATTGCTGGACGGCCGTTAGCTGCTAAAATATGCAAATTTTAGTCTCTTTTATACAGGTTTTTTAACGATCGTTCTAAAGTTCTTCGGGTCATCAAATCCTGGACTATTGGCACTCATTTGGAAGCATATTACTTCTTCTTACTGTTTCAATACCTTGAAAACAACTGGTCGTCTTTATTTCGCTAATCCAATTAAGAAAGTAAACGGTACGAAAAAATGCCTCAAAATCATCTGAAAATTCTCAAAAGTGGCACCTAAACTTGACCTAAAAACATGTTTTAGTTAAAGATTAATAGCTATTTTGTCAAGTTATGCAATAACACTTGTGGCACAACGCGATTCAGAATTCAAACTCAAATTTAGGCAAATGTTCAAAGTAAGATATGCCTCATTTTCCCACCAAAACTATATTAAAATTCCCTTTTTCCCTTTGCCAATGATATATATTGTTCAAAAATTAGTTCAGCAAGTAAAAGATACCTTTCCAAGCTTCATTTAATTTCCCACTGCCCCGAACATTAGTGTTTAAGTCTGTTATGTCAAGACGGAAAAATACCTTCTCAGAACCAAACCTCTTCTAGCTTAAAATGTGGTCCAGTCTGAAAAATCTGCATTGACCAGAAGTTACTCCAATCCATCATATTATAAAATCGAACGTTAGAAGAAAAGTAAATGTCCTACTGCTTAATTAAATATGCGTGAACAGGTCAGAAAATTCGCCCCATGTAAGGGTATCCGGATTCCGGAATCTGGAAAGTTTTTGCTCCGGAATCCGGGAAAATTTTGATATGGAATTCTGAATCCAGGGCTTTGGAATCCAGAATAGAGCTCAAGTACCCTGCTAAGGAATGAAATCTAGAATCCAAGTTCCACTGGGATTCCCTAACATGGGGCGATAGTACTGGGCTGTGGATGGCGAATTACTATTTTCCCCTTATTACCTTCCACTGATCAGGAGCCACATTTGAACACTTTGTTAATGAAATTTCAGTTAGAAGGTTTCTTCCTTTTACTGACTGTTTCTTCCCATTAAGGTATCAGCCACCCTTAAAATTGCCATTTTTTCCATATTTGAGGTTTCAACGTTTTCAAATAGATATGCTTGAGAGCTTTCTTGAAAAAAAAAATCAGAAGAAAATATTATTTCTGTCGAAAGATATCGGGGGTAAAAGATTTTTTCTCGTTAATTATCTTAATTGATCGTTGACAAGATCTGTCATACCCGTGTCATATATAACTTGTCTGTGAACTAGTAACGTGATACGGAGTGCGTTTCTTCGACACAACACGTGCGAATTGTCTTCGCGTTCTTTATAGCCTTTAGTGTGCTCTGTGGATATTTAGCGTTTGCTTCAGTGAAAAAAGAAAAGGTCGTGTCCGTTTTCATAGTTTTCTTCATCGAACCGAGAGCGAAAAAGAAATCGAAGAGCGAGTTTGACAAAGAATGGGCCGCAAAATTGGCAGAGAGCGACAAAGGCTCATTTTATCAGCAAGAGAAGTGGCTCGAGGAGTTGGATATTCAGAAAAGC